ACTCCGGGAAGCCATGGCTAGGCGTTGCTGGGGAGCCTTTTGCAGCTTCCAGCAGCCTAGCTCAGGGGAGGCTCCAGAAAGGAAAACCTGACGTGGCCTCTGGGGAATGTTGCCCAGCGCATAGAGGCTCCCTGAAGGCAGAGAGCTGTCCAGGCTCTGTGCCCAGTGCCAGGCTACCTTACCCTAACCATCTCCATCTTTGAGATTCACCAGGAGTGAGGTGGCTTCCCTGAGCTGCTGGGACTAAACAAGTGTTTGTCTCCAGTGCAGCCACGCCCTTCCTCTGTGCTCAGCCCCAGTTAGCACTGAATGGCTCCCAAAATGCAGTTTGGGGTCTCCTCTCCAACAGTACATCCAAGACTCTTTTAGAGGGTCCTCAAGGTCCCAGCTAATTTAATTTATACTTGAGTGCCATATACCATTTAAATGCATTCTCGTGAGGCTGCAGAGCTTGTGATACAACAACAGATTGAAAGCCAAAGCTTCTAGAATGATCCATTTGTCATCCTGTTGTCCCCATACTCTCCTCCTCCTTGTCTCCCTCCCTATTGTCCCTTCCCTGCCCTACTCCTGTCTTTCCCTCTCTGTATATCTATTCCCTCTCCATATATCTATATCTCTCTCTTTATATCTATGTATATACCATATAAATGGGACCTAAGAGGGGAGGGAAGAGAGAGAGAGAGAGAGAGAGAGAGAGAGAGAGTGTGTGTGTGTGTGTGTGTGTGTATGTGTGTGTGTGTCTTGGACATTGGTGGCTCAATCCTATAATCCTCAAGAGGCTGAAATCTGAAGATCAAGGCTCAAAGCTAGCCCAGGCAGGAAAGTCCATGAGAGCCTAATCTCCAATTAACCACCAGAAAACTGGAAGTGGTGCTATGGCTTCAAGTGGTAGAGTACTACTAGTCTTGAGCAAAAAGAGCTTTGGGACATTGGCCAGGCCCTGAGTTCAAGCCCCATGACTGACCAAAAGAAGAGAAGAGAGAGAGAGAGAGAGAGAGAGAGAGAGAGAGAGAGGAGAGAATATCTGTAATATATCTCTATACATCTTTGACTGTATTGGGATTTGAACTCTAGGCCAGGCTGTAAGCGAGAGTCTTACCCCTTGAGCCATACTTTCAGCTCTTCTGCTATGTTTCTTTTTCAGATTAGGTCTCACTATTTTGCCTAGGTCAGCCTTGGACTGTGGTCCCCTTACCTTTGTCTCCCTATCTACCTCTCAAGCCACACATTAAAGATTCTTATCAAATTGTAAGACGTGGTGCTTTTCTCATGGATTTAATCCTTTGAAATAGCATAATTTGAATTTTTAAAATGTGATACATTATTATTAGTAAATTGTAATGAACTAATACTTTAAAGATTTCATAGTTTTACTTTGTGGTATGATAAATATTGATAATTATAATTAACATAGAGACACTTTTGTAGTTGTCAGTAATTTTTATGAATGAAATGGGGTTCCAAGGTAAATGGGTTTGAGGATCACTACTTTAGATTGTATTAATTCTAGTTTCTCTCTGTGTCTCTAAAGATGGCACAGATTGACTAGCCTATAATTTTCTATGCATTCTTTAAATTTCTGTGCCCCATAGCTGGTGCCAAGTTGTGGGTGTCTTTCCCCCATCCCCTTATCTACAGGTAAGTGACAGGGATCCTGTGGTAGGTGAGATTTCTTTGAAACTGCCAAGCTGGATAGTGCTGGGCAAGGAGTAAACACTTGTATTGTTACCTTCCATATCAGTGTCAAGTTCTCTGCTTTACCTAAAGAAAAATGACTATTTAAATATTTGTGAGCAACCTCAATAGAAATAGCCCTTTGATTAAAAATATAAAATTAGTAAACATTATGGAAGGCAAAACAGTTTTTCTTTAATTATCAATAAATGGATTACAGAAACATTCTTACTGAGCTGAGCATGATGGTACATGCCGGTAATCCCAGCATTGGTGGACTAAAGCTGGAAAACAGAGTTCTTTGTCTTCCTGAGCTATATGGAAAGTTTGAGAGTAGCCTAGGAGGCTATATATGTATTCTTAAAATAAAAGCATTTTGATATGGCCATGTGATCAACACTTGCTGGGCTTCCTACTCCTGAAAACTTGCCAGGCATGGTGCTTTGTGCTTAGTGAGACGTCAGTAAAGCTGACCAAGTTGAGATGAATCTCTTTTCTTCATCCAGTTGTCGTTCCCCACTATCTCTACCTCTTCCTCCAGTTTACAGTTGAATGTGCTTAGGTTTTTGTGTCAGTCTTTCTCAAGCCCGTTCTGTCAAGAGATGATAAACCATCCTGGGGCAGGGCTGGAGAACATAACATTATGCTAACTGCACTAGTAGCCCAAGATGGGGCACCATCTTTCTTCTCATTCCTGCTTCAGTCTGGATTTGTTTTCCTTAGGCAACCTTCCTTAACTGCCAAAGTACAAGAGTAAATTTAGCTGGGAACTGGTGGTTCACATCTGTAATCTTAACTGTAATCAGGAGGCTGAGATCTAAGCTAGCCTGGGCAGGAAAATCTGTGAAACTCATATATGGAAATCTGTGAAACTCATACTTCCATATAATTAGCAAAAAGCCAAAAGTGGAGCCATAGCTCAAGTGGTAGAGTGCTAGCCTTGGTCCAGGAAGCTCAGGGTCAGCACCCAAGCTCTTGAGTTCAAGCCCCCCAGTACCAGCACTAAAAAATAAAAATATGAAAGGAAAAGAATAAATGCAACATTTTTAGATCAGGGTCCTACCATGGGTGGCGAAGCTTCCTTCACTGTTTTTTTTGTTTTTTGTTTTTTCAGGAAGTGTTTGAGACCTTTGCAGGTTAAACACTACCCTGAAGCCAGGTGTCTCTGTGTTGACCAAATCTTAACAGTTGGCAGGCAGAATACTTGAGTACGCTCAGAATACTGTATTGAGTAGACTTTAGTTTTTCCTAGCAATGTGTGTGTTTATTCCACAAGAGTTTTTGAGCACGTCCCTGTCTAAATGATTGTGATAGCATGACACACATATGCAGACGCTGCCTTCTGGAAGCTTATAACCTGTAGTGTGCATGCACATAAACAAGTGCAGACACATGCAGCAAGCCCAATTACTAGCTTAAAGGAAGAATGCGCCCAGCTTACGTGCGAGAAGAGAGGGCATCACGAAAGATGTCACAGTAGCCTGGTGCCAGTGGCTCACGCCTGTGATCCTAGCTACTCAGGAGGCTGAGATCTGAGGATCATGGTTCAAAGCCAACCCAGGCAGGAAAGTCCGTGAGACTCCTATCTCCAATAAACGACTCAGAAAACCAGAAGTGGTGCTGTGGTTCAAGTGGTAGGTGCATTAGCCTTGAGCTGAAGAGTGGAGAGACAGCACCCAGGCCCAGAGTTCAAGTCCCATGACCTACCACAAACAAACAAAAGACTTCACAGTTGTTTCCTGAGCCTGCACTGCCAGTGGACAAGTGTGTCACATTGAGTGCTTCACAGAGGATGCGGCATGCACCGGGCCCAACTTGCACAGCATGCATGGCCAAGTGGTGCTCTAGGAAACGGAAAACAGTGCAGCTTTTGTGAGAGGAAACCAGTGGGTGAGCCCATACCAGTCCTGTATAACACACAGGGGAAAGTGGCTTTCCTTCGACACATTTGTACTTTTTGTTTTGCCAATACTGGGGCTTGAACTCAGGCCGTGGGTGCTGTCTCTGAGCTTCTTTTGCACAAAGCCAGTGCTGTACCACTTAATATAGTTTGGAGTCATTAATAAGTTCCACTTCTGGCTTTTTGGTAATTTATTTATTTACTTGTTTGTTTATTGGTCAGTCATGGGGCTTGAACTCTGGGCCTGGGCGCTGTCCCTCAGCTCTTCAGCTCAAGGCGAGCGCTCTCCCACTTGAGCCACAGTGCCACTTCTGGCTTTTTCTGCTTATGTGGTGCTGAGGAATCAAACCCAGAGCCTCATGCATGCGAGACAAGCACTCTACCACTGAGCCACCTTCCCAGCCCATTTTTTGGTAATTTATTGAAGATCCAAGTCTCACAAACTTTCCCTGGTTTTGAACCATGATCCTTAGTTCTCAGTCTTGAGTTGCTAGGATTACAAGTGTGAGTCATTGGCGCCCAGCTCTAAACTTACTTTTGAGAAAGGACTTCTGGGACTAACAGTAGTAGAGACAACAATATTTTGTCTGAAATTTATTGATTCAAGCAATATAAATGAAGTATGCAGAGGTAGTTATTGTGACAGAATGTAGGCCTAAAGCCATGGGAAATGGATGCACTGTCACTCAAGTGCTAAGGAAATTACCGCTGTTATTTGATTTGGTGATGGGAAAGGGAATCACAGAAATAGTGAGACAAAGGACAAAGGGCAAACCAGTGCAGCAGCAATACTCACAAGACACTATGTTGGAAATGAACTTTACAACTTGGGGGAAGGGAGTCGGGGTGGGAAAGCAGGAGAAAATGAGGATTTGTACTCATTTCCGTTCTTATGTAACTGTAACACTTTTGAATATCACCTTTACAATAAAAATTTTAAAAATTTAAAAAAATTACCAATGAGCTACATCCTCAGCTTTAAGTCCACATTATTAATAGCCATTTGGTTTTTATTGAGTGGGGTTTGGGTGCTCTGTCTTATACTAGGCATCTTTTACACACTTAATTTATACTTGGAAAGTACCCTCTGAAGCCAGGGATGCTGCTGCACAATTATAATTGTAGCTACTTAGGAGGAGAGACAGGAAGGACTTTGAGTTCCAGACCAATCTGGGCCATGGACAAAAACAAAATACAAACAAGAAGTCTGTGGGTGTAACTTGAGTGGGAGATTGCCTTTGTAACATGTGTGAAATCCTTGGTTCAGTTCCCACTACCACCAGTAGCCCTGGAAGATGCTGTTCCTATCCAGTGGATCAGAAGCTAAGGGTCTGAGTCAGGCCACAGGCTCACAAGTAGCTGTACTTGGTGGAGACTGTTCGCCCAGAGCATGGAGATCATTGTGATGTTTCTCTCTTTCCAGGGTTTTGGTTTTTTGCACTGAATGTAACTTAGACTCATCGTCTCTGGCTGGTGTTGCCCCTGGATACTGTCAAAGGTAAGTTTCAAAAGTTTAAATCTACCATGTACTTGCAATAAAACAGGAGTATTAATTGTAAAAAGAAAAGAAAATATTGTGATATTCTTTGCAGTGTTCTTTTAGAAGGATGTTTGAAGTGATAGTTTCTGCTTTGTTAGTTCTGACTGTCTGTCTGCAGTACTGGGGATTAACCCATGGCCTGAAACAAGTTAGGCATATGCTTTACCACTTGACCTGTGACCCCACACCTTTTGTTTTTATTTTTCAGACAAGATTTTACTACTGGGGCTGGGAAGATGGCTCAGTGGTAGAGCGCTTGCCTTGCATGCCTGAGGCCCCGGGTTCAATTCCTCAACACCACATAAGCAAAAAGAATAAAAGCTGGAAGTGACGCTGTGGCTCAAGTGGTAGAGCGCTAGCCTTGAGCTGAAGAGCTGAGGG